GGTTGTATGTGAGGAAAGGCAATTTGTAAAGTCAGCTTATGTGGGCAAGTTCATGCAACCTTCACAAAATAGCTTGCAAGATCAAGGCCTTTGTTTTGAAGACAGCTGTCAGAATGCATGGGACCTGCTTGCAAAATGTACTCTGTCCTTGCGTGAGTTGTATTCACTTGCTCCGTTTTATTGGGATTGAGCAATTGACAGATTCGCTTACGTCTCCACTAACAGTTGTTTGGCAGTCAGTGCCTGGAGGTAAGAAGGGTGAACTGGCTGTCTGATGTTAGTAGAAGCTTCTGCCTTAATGCCAAGCTAATGCAGGTGTGGTGGGAGATCTCCAGAGGCAGTATCTTGTGTGGATTTCTTTTGGGAGGGAATATCTTGTTCCCCAAAGATGCCAGGACTGGGGCGAATCCAGCTGACTTCACTGGGCCTTCACATGGGAGCAGCTTTTGGCAGAAGCTGTGAAGCTGCTTGTCTCTCTGGCATCTACAGTCCTCTTGCGTATTGAGTTACTTGCTTGTATTATATCGGGATAGGGTCTGTGAGACACAGTAGGGTAATAGCTTTGTTGACTTGACATGTGCCAGATCAATTCCTGGGATCTCAATATCGCGCTGTTAGGCAGGGGGGCGTGACACAAAATAATATACACAAAATATTCATATGAAAATTGTTGGTCTGCACACACATCCATACACAAACACACACTTGGGCAGCTGCGTGTTGGTGCTTGAGATGCTTGGTGACTAGGAGAGATTCTGGGAGCAGAGTGGGGAATGGAGCCGGGAGCAGGGTGAGGAGCTGGGACAGGAGGGAAGCCAGGGGCTGAGGCAGCAGAGAGGCTGGGGGCTAAGGCAACAGAGAGGCTGCGTTGGGGATCAGAGGCAGCAGAGAAATGGGAGTGTTGGAGGTGGCAGAGAGAGAGAGAGTAGGGATGGAGGTGAGAGAGAGAGAGAGACGGGACAAAGATCAGAGGGGCATGGAGCAGAGATTGAAGCAGGGCCAGGACTGCAGTAAGACAAAACCCAACTCAGGGTTCCAAATAACAGTTTTATTAGACAGAAAAGGGGTAACATAATATTTGGATTATAAATTATTGGTTCCTGCACACACAGTTAGGCTCACGTACTCGCACAATAGTAGCAGGGGAGAAACTGCTTGGTAGAGGCATTGAAATCAAGGGGTATAGAAACAGAGCTCAGGTCCCTTGTTTGGAGGGGAGATGCAGGTGATAGATACCTATCCAGGCTGAGTTGATTGTTGATGGCTAGTCATGGTCTTCTCCAGCAAGGTGTTGTCCAGAGGGGGTTCGCCGGCAGGACCTCTGGGTGGATAGGTGGCATGGTGTAGTGCTGGTCTGGATGGAGAAGGCATCCAAAGGAGGTCACATTCTACCACCCCTTTATAGGGGTGGGCTACCTGTGACTCTAATGGGGAGGACATGCCCAGGCAAGGGCCAGTCCTGCTCAGATGAGGACATGCAGTTCCATGTCCTCATTGTCCAGTGGGATACAATGGTGGAGCTGCTGGTTTCTTTTCTGTTCTTTGTTTCTATGTTGCTGGTTTCTTGGAGGGTCTTTCAAATATTGGGTTTTGTCTCTGGTTCTGGGAGTAGGTCTGTGGTTCACAGAAGCAGAGGTGACTTCCAGCTGTCATGATTGCATTTATGCAGCTGCCAGTGGTAGTTGCTTTTTTTTTCTTTTTGTTTCTTTTTTTTTTTTTTGCCTCCTGCCTCCCTACCCCAAGTTGACACCTGGGGCAGTTGCCCCCTTTGACCTGCCAGGTACCCCCTCTGCCCTGTGGTTTCAGGAAGAGTCAATGCAAGGCAGTTGTAGGGTTGTTAAGTTGATGGTCCGGTCATTCAGTAGGAGCTATTTTTAGGTCTGCTACCATTATGTCCCAAGCACTCTCATTCACCCAGGAACCAATTTACATAGGAGGTGTAGGTACGAGTCACAGTTAAAACATAATTACAGTAGGGTGTGCCCGGGCAGGGGACACAAGATGGAGCCTTGACAAGACGACATGGAGACTTAACATTACTTTGGCTAACTTATATAAACAGGCCTAAATGATACAATATCAATATAAAACAGTAAAAATTAATACAAATATAATAGGAATACAATATAAACCAATAAAAATCAATACCAAAATAATGGCACTATTTACAATGATACATGGACAATATAAAAGGGGCTTGTTACAGTAATGGAGAGCTTATCCTATGTTCATAACTATGACTTATCACAACTACTTATAAGGAATAGAGAGGGCAAAGAGAAAGTCAGAAATGGTTGGAGAAGGGAGGGAATGTGTTTTTAAGTAAAAAAAAAAAAAGCCGAACCCCAAAACAACCAAAACTGGGGGTTTTGCTACAGCTTGTGGTGGGACTCTTCCAAGCTTCACCCTTGAGAGTCAGTAAAGGGAGAGGCTGCCCAGATGCATGTGACTGCACTGCTGCCAGTCTCCCTTAATGTCCTTGAGCTTGGCTTCTCTTCCACAGGGTGTGAAAATCTCCCTGGGCTTGGTTAATGAACAAGTGGCATCTATGGCATCAAAGGAACAAAATTAGTCTTTCACTCCTAGTAAAACTGACAGAGCAGGAGACCCTCCCTCTTAAAGGAATGAGAACTCAAATGGCAGAGCAGTTAAGGATATGAGGAAGGCAAGGTCCATTTTGCATTCCAGGATGTCTGCATCAGGTTGCATTTTTGGTGAAGTTTTCATGGAATGTGAGGGTTAAACATTAAATGCTTTTTGTTTTTTTTTTAAGGAAATAAAGTCTTGGCAACTTGGGAATTCAGATAAATGAGGAGGGGGAAGGAAAAATGTGTGTTTTTGTGGCCTTTCCTCTGGGGTTTATTTTTAGTATCCAGTAACTTTCCAAGGACAGCAGTTTCCCTAGGCCTTAAAAAATGCTTATGCTTTATTATCTTATTTCAGTTGGGAGCCAATTTTTTTCAGCAGCTGTGCCTCAAATTAGCCCTGTGACACTCTGATCCCCTTCCTCTGTACCTTCTGCTGCTCTGCTTTGTGCTCTATCTGCTACTGTGATGCTTCCCTGCCGCATGCCACACAGAGGCTTCCCATGCCACTTGCGGCATGTGGGCTGCAGGTTGGCCACCTCTGTCTTATTTAATATAGAGGTGGCTCTCTCTATATTATATATATAGAGAGAATTTAGCAATGCATCAGAGTGTTATATTCTGTAAAGGGGGAAGGTACTGTAAGGAGTGAAGGGTTGGGGACTGACATTATCCTTCACTCTATTGCAGTGATTCTCAGCTGAGAGATCCTTTTAAGGGTTATTTTCAGTACGATCACTGTTAGGTGTGCAAACACTTGCACTCGATTCTCAAGATAAACCCAGCTATTTGAGAGAGGAATCCAGAGGGTCAAAACCGTTTTGCCCGGTTGTGGTCTGCCGGAGTTCTTTGCAGGAGATGAATGCTTTATCATTTTTCTGGGTTGTTGTTGGTTATAGCTGTGTTGGTCTAAGGACATAGGCAGCCAAGATTCTTTGGGTAAATGTGATGTATTTTATTAGACCAACTGAATAGTTGGAAAAATTGTTCTTTGCAAGCTTTTGGGCACAATCACCCTTCGTCAGGCATAGGGAGAGTGCATATTGGCTTCTGTTCAATCCAGGATAATGCAAAACACCACCAGACTCTCTGTATGGCTGAAGAAGGGTGTTTGTGCCCAAAGGCTTGCAAAGAACATTTTTTCCAACTATTGAGTTAGTTTAATAAAAAATATCAGACCTCGTGGTAGAGGTGATATCTTTTATTAGACAAACTAGATGCTTGCAAAAAAAATGCTCCGATTGCAAGCTTTAAGGCACAAGCGCCCTTCTTCAGGCATAGGAAAAAAGATTGGAAAAGTTATCCTAGGTAGAAATAACAGAAACTTATGTGTGTGTGGGGGGGGTGAAACTTTAATTTCTACCCAGAACTTTCCCAATCTTTTCCCCTATGCCTGAACAAGGGTGCTTGTGCCTGAAAGCTTGCAATTAAAGATTTTTTTTTTGCAAACATCTAGCTGGTTTAATAAAAGATATCGCCTCTACTGTGAGTCCTGATTCTTTTTGCCTCTAGTCTAGACTCTAGACCAATATGGCTACGATCTGGATACCTAATAAAAGATATAGGCAGACAAGGGTCTTTGGGTAAATCTAGTACCTTTTATTAGACCAATTCAAATAGTTGGAAACATTCTTCCTAGCAAGTTTTTGGGCACAAACACCCTTCATCAGGCAACTTACACCCCTAATAAAAGATACCAAAGAATCTTGTCTGCCTTATTATTTTTCTGTAGTTGTTATTATTCTTTTTTTTAATGAGGTGCCACTACCTTCAGAAAAATGATTGAGGGGATGGATGCGTTGAGCCTATAAAGAAATGCAGAGATCTAGAACTCCTGGTTCAGAGATGATATCTTTTATTAGACCAACTGAGAAATTGCAAAAAAAAAACTTTTTTTTTTCCTGCAGGGGTGTAGGTTGTAGCCATGTTGGTTTAAGGACATAGGCAGACAAGGTTCTTTGGGTGAATCTGACATCTTTTATTAGACCAACTTAAATAGTTGGAAAAAAAAACTTGTGAAAGCTTGCCAACATTCCCCCCCC